ATTAGTTTTATATTAGTTTTGTATGTCGTTGGTGATGAAATAGAATAACTCAAGTCATATTAAAAATATAAAATAAAAGAAGAAATATAGTATATACAATTATTTTTTAGAAATAGGTAAGACAACAGTTTTACACCCATTAATAAGATTAAGTGAATGTGAATGTTTTTTATTAATTGAACTTGGCACAACTAAACAAGGCTTTGTATTATTTTTCTTTAACTGAGGAGTAGTTGATTGAATAGTTGTAAGAGTAGATGGAATTGAATGACATGAAAGTGAAGAAATCGAATTTTCATGATGAGATAATTCATACTCTACAACTTCATCATAAAGCCAATATTTTGAAGGAGTTTCAACTAAATTAAATGAATCACTAAACATTTCCTGTTGAAAAGGAATAAATTTAGGTTCAATTTTAAAAACTTTTGAAGTATTATTTTGAATTGAAGAAAGACACATTAGTTCAGAAATAATTTTATAAGCTTTATCTCCAAGAATTAATATTTCTTGAGTAGAATAATTTTTATCTTTTAAAGTAACTGTAATAAACTTTTGCATTTTAATTGTTACTTTAGTAGATTTTGTCTTTTTTACTTCAAACTGAAGACTCCCATTGTATAGATTAATAGCAAGTTGTAACAAATAATTATATGTTACAGCAAATATATTTCTTCGATGATATCTTTCATTATAACTTCTTGAATTTAATTTTGAATATTCTGTTTCTTCTTTTTGTACGATTTCAAGTAATTGTTTATGACTTACTTCTATAATTCCAAAAAGACCTACAACTTCAATATATTGTAATGCCTTTTCTGCTTTTTTAGGTCTTTTTGCTATAATAAATCCAACCCCTCGATAATTTAATAATCCAATTAAAAAAGCCATTCGTTGACATTCTTCTGTTATCCCTCTTTGTTTAGCAAGTGTGTTTATATCCCGTTTATGCTGAATTACACTTTGAATATTTGGACTTATTTCTTTTTTAGGTTTTAGTAATTCGGTTGTTTGGCTATTAATTGCTTCTGGTAATTGAACATTACGAAAATCAATTTCATCAAAATTATTATATCGACTCATACAAAATTCAAAGTTTCTTTTTATTTTTTTAGTTTTCTTTTGAATTTTATTTTAGTATTTTATCCCGATTTTTCATTGTTTTTTAACTAATAATTAAAAATAACATAATATTGGAATGATTTGCTTCTTCTGTTAGTATTATAAACTATAACTATTTTATTTAACTTATAAAACATTATTGTGAATCATCACATTTCTTTTAAAATGAAGAAGTTGATGAAGAAATTGTATAAATAATAACAGTATTTTTACTCAACAATAAAATCTAAAATAAAAAGTATTAATTTCTTATTTTTCAATACATCAAAGTAAATCAAAAAGAAAGAAAAATATAAAAAATTCTAAAAAATATTTTTGAAAGAAAACCTAAAAACAAAAAGAATTGAAGAAGATAATTATAATGAACAAGTATAAAGAAATAAAGAAATTAACTTAGAAAATATAGTTAATGATATCAACCTCAGATGGAATCATTTTTGGTAATACTGTATTTACTAATGGAATTACTATAAAGGAGAGAATTGAAGGATACATTACATTAACATTTGATAAACCAATATTTATAAAAAATATATTAGTTTGTTTATCTTTAGTTCATTATTCTGGTATTACACCATTAGGTGGAACTGGGTCTGTGTTAATTGATGATGAACCAAATGAAAAAATGTGGACTGGAGTTGAAAAGAAAATAATACATTCTGAAGAGTTTGAAGTTAATTTTAATCATTATGTAACTGAAGGTCGTATTACTGAAACGTGTCCAGGGACATTTAGATATGCTTTTTCTATTCATACTAATGAAAATTTTCATATTACATCATTAATGTCAAATGGAGTAGGTATTTGTTATGAATTACATCCGACAGTTGTATTATTCAAAGGAAGAAAAATACATGGAAAACCAACCACAGTTCCATTATTATATAATAATATTGAACTACCCCAATCGTTATTAGAAAATTGTTATACAAAAAAAGAATATAATAAATATGTTTTAGATATTTTATGTGACACTGGTTGTGGTTATCAAGGAGATGAATTAACTGGTAAATTTTCAATTACTAACAGAGGAAAACAATCAATTGAAAAAATTGCTCTTCATTTTGCTACTATTGTCATGAATATTTCTAATAAAACTTTATCACGTGAAATTAATAGTTCTACATCAGTATATAATATTCCTATTGGTACTTCTACATTCACCTATAAAATTAATATCCCAATGACTACACCACCAGATGTTACTGATTCTCCATTACGTATACATAATGCAATTGTTTTAGAATTTAATTCTGGAAAAGTTTTAAAGAAAATTAAAAGAGCTGTTTTACCAATTGTTGTATATGCTCGTACTCCAAATTCAAGAAATGTTGATGAATATATTAAGTCTATTAAAATTGATACTTTAAATCCTTGTTCATTTGATGAAATTCCTTATGGATTACCACCAAAATATGAATGTTTATGTCCAAAAGGAATAGAAACTATTTATACTATGGATAATCAAGTCATTAATATTAATCATATTAAACGCGATTCAACCTTTCTTGACTACCAAACTTCTTGTTTACCTCCAGACATGAGCGTTGGTTGGTCAAAAAATAAATTAGTATTTATTAATCATTCTTTTAACACTGTCTCATGGAATGATCCAAGACCAAAAAATGAACGACTTCCTCAACACGTTATCAATGAGTGTAATGGTTTGTTAACAATAGCAATTGAAGAAACTAGAGGAATTCCATTAAGATCAATATTTTGTGTAAAAGACTTAACTAAAAAGAATTATATTGAAGGGACTGTTGAAGTACCATTAGACTCAGCTCAAAATAATGTAGTAATTACAGTAAAATATAATAAGAAGTATATTGGATATATTGATATTGATTTCAATTTACTTCCTATGGATAGGGGTATAAGTTCTTGGTTTTTCCTTAAAGAACCAGAAGGAAGTGAATTAGGATTTAGTGGAATGGTAAAGATGCAGTTAGTGTATAGTTCACAAACAATTAGTTCACTTAAAACACTTGAATATCCAGCATATATTTCAACACTTCATTTTCCTTATTATTATGTAACCCCAACACTAAAAAAACTCAATGACTCACGTAACAAAATACTTCAAACAAATAGTCAACAACCATTCCTTACTTATGGTGGTAATGAAGCATTTATAAATATTCCTCATTACTCTAATATCTATCATACAATACCATCTTTTTTCCCTCTTCCTATTCCTTTATTACGTAGTAATGCTGGGTATATTGCATCAACAAATATAATTGATGTAGAAATTGCTAAAAAAAGAAGACCAAGTGCAAGTGTTTCCGTAGCAGTATCAAATAATATTTCTCGAACAGCGTCACCAGGATTAAATAAAAACTCTTCGTATTCAAGTCAACAACCTAAAGTAATTTCATCAACGTCAATTCCACCAACAACGAAAGAAAACCAACCAACTGTTTCAATTATCCATGAACGTCCATCATCACCAACTCCAAAAATACCTACCCTTTCTCAAAATAAAGAAAAAAATTTAATCTCTCGAAAAAGAAGATTATCGTTAGGTAACTTTTTATCAAAAAAATCTCATAATAGTTATGGAACATTAGAAGATTAATTTAAAATCATTTTTTGATTTTTTTTTCACTATAGTTATTAATTTATATCAACATTAAATCAAAGTGAATATAAATTCAAGTTAAATTATATTTAATTAAATTATTTTTTAATTAAAAAATAAATCAAAAGAAGAGGTATTAGAATAGTTTAACATAATGATTCTAATATAATGAAATAAAACTATTTTTTGAATTGTATTTAATTATTATTCTCATCACAACCACTTTTTTAATTTTTTAATTATTTTTCTTATAAACTAAAAAAGACAAATTTACATAAGTATATTACGTTGATATATTCTTACAAAAAATTTATTACTTTAAAAGTACCAAATATTGGTTTTCATATTAATATACAAGTAATACAATATTATAATTCAAAAGAACATTTATTAAATGAATGAAAAAAGAAAATACCAATTAAATTTTCATTAGAACAAAAAGTAAAAATAACTTCATTACATGTTTAATATTCAAAAGTTAAATAGTTATATTAATATTTATTTTTTTATTCATCACATTAAAGTATTTTGTATTGAATTACATTTTATTTTAAAGTTCATTTAATTAATTTTGAAAATAGAATTATAAAACTAGAATAATTGAGTTATATCAAAAGTGTACAATTATTAATTATTATTTTAATAATCAGAAGGACGTTCTTGTTTTGGACTTGAATCTCTACTATTAATTGATTTTTGTGGATTAATTGAATGGTCAGAATTAAATTTTATTGCAATAGGTTTATCATCAGGATTTAAAGGAATTAAAGATTCTTTAGATAATACATGTATAGGACTCATTGAATGAGGACTTGTTTTTTCTGAGAAATATAAAGACGTAGGATCACTAGTATCACTTCTTGGTGTTTGTATTTGTCTATTATGTAACTTTACAAATAATTTCTTTGGTCTAGAAGCACGTAATTTAGCACTACTTATAGACTGTCCACCAAATAATCCAGAAGAATAACTAGGAATAATACTATTAATGATTTCAAAAGCATCTATTCTTTTAATAACTTTATAAGCCAATAATGTGCTATGATCTAATTTACCTGGAAATTTATGAGGGTCTGGAGGTAATTTTTCTCCAGGATGACTTTCTACAAACCTTCTTGATGATTGTGTTGTTTCAGTAATATAATCTCCTAGTTGTTCAACAAAATGGCACATTGAACTTGACGTCTTAAAAATTGAGGTTATAAGACGTTCAATCCATATTTGTTTTTTTTCTAAAAAATATTGTGTTTTACTTGCTTCATTCCAATCAACAGCGTCAATACCAATATCAATTGGGTTATAATCTAATAATGTTGGATCAAAATTATCATGATATCCATCTGTAGCAATAATAACAATATCACCATCATTACATTTATCTAATTTAATACTTGCATTTCTTAAATCTGGATATAAGTGATCAATAAAAGGACCAATTCTACCACCACAATCACTAACATCATTTAATGATGTTCTAATACTTCCTGTTAATTGTTCTGTTTTCATTTGAATTGGACTATATTTATATGAATGACAATCACCAATAGATAATGTTAATATAATTGGTTCATCTTGATTAGAATAAACAATAACATTAATTATGATAGTTGCTGTACCAATTTGAAATGATTCAATCCCATCATTAATAATTGCTAAATGTCCTTCATATGTACTTTCAGCCATTAATTGAGCAATTTCTTTTGTATTTTTACATTGTTCAATTTTATCAATAATACTTTCTAAAATTTTATTAACTGCTGCTTTCGCAGCATTATAAACATTATTTCCTAGTCCACATCCATCAGCTAAAACTACTATTGCCATATCTTCAAAAAATGCTCCTTTTCCTTTATCACAAATAGGATTTCCTATTTTTTTTCCATCTCTAAAAGGGTATGTTGAAAGTGATGTATAAACAATACTTTCAGTTGAAAATATAGGGTATATCATTGGTGGTGGTGTAGTATCACAAACAATAATAGGTTGTTGATTTTTCTTAATTTTAACAGGTATCCTTTCAATACTTTTTATTGAATTTTCAAATGCATCATTAAACATTTTCGTAGTTTTATTCTTCTCAGCTTTTCCTAGTTTCTTCATATTCTTTTTCTATTTTTTTAGTTCTTTCATTTTTCTTATTTTTTATTAATTCTTTTATTATTATTTTTACTACTTAAAGTTTTCTTTTTTTTAATTTTTTTTTATTTCTTGAATATATTTTTAGAATTTGACACTTTCTCTAAAAATAGAAAAAGAGAAAAGAATGATGTTTTGAATCTTCAATTAATTCATAACTTGAATTAATTTCTTAAATTCTTCTTGAGGCTTTGATAATTTATTTCAATTAAACTATAACACAAATTCTTTGGTTTTGTTCATAGTATTGATATAAATCAAATGAAAATGGACGTTGACCATAGTTAATTTCAACCCAATCCATATCAGTTACTGTAAACCCTGCTGTTATGTCTGTCCATTTAGCGTTAATTGAAGGGTATTTTTTACCATCAAGTGTAAAAAATACTTGACTATTTATTGTATCAAACCCACAACCAACTGTATGAACTTCATCTTCATTTAATCCAAATGGTATTCCATATTCAGACACTTTTCCTTCATTAAATAAATTTCCACAATCTGAATGGAATCCAATACTTCCTTGATCCCATCCAAGATGTCTTGATCCCTCAAAAGGATAACTACCAACTCTCATTATTCCAATTGAAATAATATTATAACCAGATACTGTTAATTCAAAGTATCTAATTGATGCAGGTATTTCACGAAGTTCATTGTTAGAATCATAAATTTTCATTTTCAAATTTTTATTATCTTTTAAATAGAATTTTTGACTATAAAATTGATAATTGCCATCAACAAAATCTTTTGTTTTAATTACTCTATTATCAACAATTTTTAAGCTCTTTGATACTGAATAAAATCGTCTAAATATAAAATGATTTGATGGATTAAGCATTTCATTAATTGATAATTCAGATGGAAGATATAAAAGTAAATTACATAACCGTTCTGATTGTTCAACTGAAAGTCCTTCATATTTCATTGGTGATATCCTTTGTTTTGATTCATTTAAAAATTCTAAATGAGGACTTTCTTCTATTAATAAATTTAATGTTTCAAAACTTATTTCAGGTAATTTGCAATTTTTTGATTGACGAATAAAAAGTTTTGAAAAAGAAGAAGGAACTTTTCCACAGATTTTGATTTCTTCATTAAAATATAACAGAATTTCTTCTAGTTTTGGTGAAGAGACAGAAAGACTGATATTATATGATGAACTAATAGTAATACTAATTAATGATGGGAACATATTATCTATTATTTCAAATGATATAGAATCACATACATGTATTATTAAGTGTTCTAATGAAGGAAACTGGTTTTTAAATCTTAAATAATTACATTCAGTTATTTTGAGTGTTTTTAAATAATCTGATATCAATGAAAGAGAAACCATGCTATTTTGTGTTTCAGATGAAATATATTGTAATGATACTTTTTTAACTGATTCAGGAATATTCCAGGGAGAAATATTCTGGTTTGGATTAATGAGTAATGACTTACCCGGAATACCGCTTATTATTTCTGAATTAGAATATGCTTTATTTATAATAATATTAAATTGATTTATTTCAATTGTATTTTGAATTAAAAAACTTCCATCAAATGAACAGTAATTTTCAAGACAATATGGTGTTGGATTATTGATAAACCCACGATGACGATATTCAATTCCTTTCATTCTTTTTATTAGGTCTGCATTTGATGTATGTGTATTAAATAAAACAATAATTCGAGTTTCTCCATTTTGACGTATATACTTAGTTAATTCATTAACTAAATCAACGGTTTGATCATTTAATTGAAGAAAATTATTGTTTGAAGTAGATGTAAATATTAAACGAGGAAATTGAACAAACATATTTTCTCCATTATTAGTATATTGTTTAAAAAATTTAATTAAATTTTCTATTGAACCTGTTATTGATTGAAGTTTTTTAAATCTATGTGCATATTTAATAAAGAAATTTATAGTATCTGAGATTGTATCTTCATAGAAAAGATCAAGCGATACAACTTTTGGTAAAACGTTTAATATTTTTTCTTGATATCCAATTAATGGATGAAAATATGGTGACTTAATACATTTGGCTTTTTCAAACCATTCATTGTAGCAAAAATAAATCCCACAAACTTCAAATGTATCAGTTTGAAATCTTTTAAAAAATGAAACAAAGGATTCTGAAGAACAAAACATTGGATTGGTTTTTAATCCTTTAATCGTATCTAAGCATTTGTGGTTAACCTTAATAAACCTGTATATATCACGATATGTTGGAAAAAATAATACAACATTCATTAAGTAAACCATTTCTAATTGTTTCTGTTGGCTCATGTTGCTAATTCTTATTTTTAAGTTCTTTTTAAATTAATTTATTTATTGGTATTTCTATTTTTAATTTAATACTATTTATCAATGAAATTAAATAATTCTTATTCCTCATAAAATACTCTCATACTAGGAATTATAAACTTTATTTAACATCATTTTACTCTTTATTAGTATCAAAGAGAAAAATAATAATTTATTTTCTTAATAAAATATTATCCTAAAATAATTATGATAAATATCTCATCATTTAATCAAATATTCTATTAAATATATGATGGAACTAAACTCTCATTAACCAGATAAACAAAAAAATATTCTTTAATGACTTTTCTTTTTTTTTATAAAAAATGGATTTGGAGTTGAAAAATCAGAAACATTACACAAATATTGAAATAAGTCAT